GCTCAGATTCTTTCAAAGGGATGTGTGTGTGTGTGTGTGTGAAATAAACAACTGAGTGCTTTGCTGTCAAGTGGGTGACAAAGTGATCCTTTTAGTAACTTTCTCAAAAGTAAGTCTTCAGTTCATCTGATCTAGTTCAAAAAGAAACAAAGCAAAACAAAAACAATTATAAACCAGAGATATCCTACAGGGAAGGGCAAAAGAGAGGGCTCAAAAGGAGGGAAGGAGGAAAGTGGGGGACTGTGATGATGACACACCAGGGTGAATTGGGGTAGGGAGGAAGCAAATATTGTTTTAAAATGAAAGATAATATAGATACATAAATTATTTTTTTAAATGAATAGAAATTAAAAAAAAAGAAACAAAGCACATCCTTCAAAGTTGCTTCTCATCTGCTAAATTACTCTTTCACTAAATCTGCAGTCACTACAGTCTGCAATACCAGGAAATTCACCTTTGTGAGGAAGGTGATGAACACAGCTGTTTAAGACCAAAGAGGAAAGCCTCAGTCCTACACCCCACCCCCTGCTCCACTGGATTTCACACCCTCCCGGGGCCCTCTTTAGGGTGCCGGCCCAGTGTCAAGACCATGGTACTAGGGCTGCAGCAGGACACCCCCACACTTTCTCAAGGTTTCTTCTCTTTTCCCACTGTGGTTCATCTCCCTTTTCCTGCCCCAAAGTGTGGGTGAAAGTCACAAGGCAGAGCCCTCATCACTGCCTGCATTATCCCCGGCATGAATGAGGCCTAGAATGACAACTTCTTAGTGCCTCTACTTGCTAATCTACAGGACACATGTATTGAATGTGATGAGGCTCATGGTCCCTCTTCCAGTGCTTAAGCTCCGGAGGGGGAAAACATTTCCCAGGGCACAATACTAACTCCACAAATTCCTGTTCCTTTGTCTGAAAGTTGAAGCAAACAAAGGTTCTTTAGGAAATGTGATGTTTGTGCATGTGCCTGGATGTACTTAGAGTATTTGCATGCCATCAAGCGCCACCAAAACTAATCGATTGGGCACCATGCATTCCAAATCAGCAGAGAGAATTGAATTCCACAAGGGTTTCCTGGACATGGATGCAAATAGAACCACAAATAGAATCAGTCTGTCCCCATCTCATCTATGTCTCCGAGGTAAGCAGAACTGCCCTGCGGGCTTTGAAATATGCCAAATGTGTCCAAGTCAGGTGTACTTCTTTTCCTTAAAGTAAATGGTAGAAAATGAAGGAGAAAAAAGGTTTGGAAAACCCTGCTTAAATAGCCACCTAACCTCACAAATTTTTAAAGGAGGATTCATTACATACACTCCACATGTTTTTCAAAATGTAACTGCTAATTAGGACCCAAGACGACTGTGATATTGTACTAGACACTCTGACTAATGCTCCTGGAAATCCCAGCATGACTGGCAGTGAAGTCACACCTCCTGTCCTCTCCTCAGACACCAGGCCTGAGTCACCTCTGTGATGCCGGCTTTTCCAATTAATGATGTGGGCTCCTTCCAGGCACTCACCACTGCAGTAGCTGATGGCTTTGGGTTGTTATTGGTCACGTCACATGTAATTTAGTGAGCCTGTCAGGATGATGTGGAGACATGGCCTGTCTCTTTCCCACCTCCTCAATCTGTCAGTCCAATGTCTTCTTCCTCAGAACAGAAAGCTCGCAGCAGCTGCCCACATCCCCAATATTAAGTCAGAATGCCTACAGGACCTGTATGGAAACTCAGCCCCACTGCCTATCCTTCTATTAGGGCCACACTAACTGCGTTTTTTCACATGTGTGGCTTACGAGGAAGCTCAGTGCCTCCCCCACAAAGAATGGGCATCCATCGTGCCCAAGATTGGCATAGCCTGGACATAGACTCACATTAATCACGGTCACTCCACATTATAAGCCCAGTCAGCTCTGGCAGAGTGCTTAATGGAATCAAACAAAAATATTACACTCACTGTGCAATGCCTTCGTGGTGTTGACAGCAAGCTGTTCCTTTCAGCCACACTCAGCATTGTATCTTTGATCAAGATTGGAAACACCAACCAGTCAGAGTTTGACTGTAGGATTCTGTCAGCCTCTTTGAATCTCTGGAGAAATTCTGATTTGAAACAAAGACTTTAGTTTGTGTCAGGAGCCTCCACAGAGCCTTGTAAATATTTCTTTCTGTCTTAGGCTTCCACACTCCCTTCAGATTGCACTCTATGAGTTCAAAGCGATCTCCTGTGGATTTACACTCAATCAGTGACACAAAACAAAGTCTGGGTTTCAGAGAAAAGTCTGGAGGAAGTCCATACTGACTTTTGTTTGCGAGGGAGAGGTTGACTTTAGCACCTACCTCAGCGCTTCCCAGCTCTGATTAAACATGGTACCTCTACCTAGCTCAGCAAGGGTCAGCAAAATTTTCCAAAAGTATGACCTTAATAAAATACTTTTATTATGGCTTGAAATTTTTACAGCAGCTGTATGCTCCCTAAAACAGGCCTGCCCACCTACTTATATGCACAGCTGCCTCCTGATGAGCCACAGAGGGCACAAGGCTTGGGGTTGGAAGGTTCTGTGACTTGTTAGAAATAACCTTAGACCAGCCACATAATTTCTAAGTCTAAGATTTCTAAGATTAGGAATAATAATCTCTACCTCTAGCAGTCTTATTAAAATTGAATGACTTTTAATAGAAGTCATTGTGTAGTTGTTCATTGATTCCTTCAAGTATTTATTACAAAATAATTGAATCAAGCTCCATTGAGACCTCTTATGTACAAATGAGATGTGGTTTGAACTTCGGCCATAGACACTATGGAGTGTAATGAACTTGGAGGCAAATGAACTTGGAGAATATAGTTTTTTGCTTAACATCAAGCACAAAGTACAAATAAAAATGACTTTAAACATATCTTTGAACAGGTCCTCTTTAGAGGGACACACTCTAGCAAGTGTTACACATGAGGAAGCTGCTATTTAAAGAGACTTCATCTATTGTCTATGATCTGGCTGCTGCTGCTTGGACTAGTAGGAAAACTGAAAGGGCCTTGTTGAATACAGACATGTCCCCTCTTAGCCTCTTCCTCGGCTACCATCCCTATCACGAAGGAAAGCAATGACCTAAAATCAAAGTAACCATCTAGAGAGTTTTTAAACAAGAGACCAACACAAAGCCTCATTGCTCGGCAGGAGCTACCTGACCCCACCACAAGCCTGAGGTACACCCCATGAGGAACAACTTCGCCTGCTGGGCAAGAGGCCAGGAACCCTCCTCACGTATTGGCTCTGCTCATGGCATTGTTCCCAGGCTCCCAGATACAGATTGTAACTTGCCCGTTTGCTGAAGGTCATGCTTCCTGATAAGAGCTCAAATCTCTGTGCTCCAAGAACATGGAATAAAAGAAAATCAAAACAAAATTTCTCTACTGTTTCTTGGGTCACGTTTCTAACAATAGCTTAAATGCTAGTTCTGTAAGAAACAGGAAACTATGAATAGAATGTCTGGTTGAAAAAGTCTACCTTAAGCAACCTGAAGATAATCATTGATTAAGTTGAAGAAATTTCCTGCTAAGTTTAATAAGCAAGGTCAAAGATTTAAGGTCATAACAAGAAAGAAAAATACAGTGTTAAATATATCATTGAACTGTGGTTCTGAATATTTGCAATTAAGATTAATCCTGGGCCTTTTAAAACTACTTAAACACACAAGACTTACATACTATATACTTACACTTACCTGCTATATATATATATATATATATATACACACATATATATACTATATATATACATGCATATACATACACACATATATTGTGTGTATGTATATGTTTATGTATGTATATGTATGTATGTCAACACACTCACATCCTTGAGAAACAAACACACTATACACACCACTTCACAGACACATTCTCACACACACTCACAAAAAAATAGGGTAAAAACTGGAATTCTGAAAAGGTAGCAGTAAGAACCAAAGATGAAAATAGTGACACTTCCCACAAATTCATCTGATAAAAGTCTAAAAAGAATGAATGAACAGGGAAGTGTTTTTACCTAGAGAAGTATCAGCCTGTGATTCAATAACTTAAAAAATGCATGATGGGGCTGAACATCCTTTCACCCTTGTGCACCAACCATTAGCCGGCAGAACTCCCGAGTGACATAATGACTGTGTCACCGATTAGCATATGCTACAGGTGTGGAAGACACTGAGCTAGTGTCCTCATGCTGTTTTGTTCACTTCTAGTGCGTTCGAATGAAGACATGTACAAAAGTGACGCTAACAGTATTAAGTTTTAAAGAACTCAAAAAGGAATGGTTCTAAAGTCCAGTTTGCTGTGTTACTCTTCAGTCCACACATCGCAGCATTGTATGGGAAAGAAAGCCCCTAAAAGTCCCTTAACTGGGCTCTCCCTGGTGGCGCAGCGGGTTAAAGCACAGCACTGAGAATCTAAAGCCACTTCTGCATGAGTTTGATTCCCGCCTGCCCCAGAGGTGACCACATGGTGTGGCAGACCTTTCCTGACCCACCCGCTGCTCCCCTCAGCAGTGTACTTTGTCGATCTGCCTGTTCTGTTCCCCACTCTGTCTCTGGTGAAGACTCTCACCACCCCTGAGCCTCTGGCCTGTACCCCAGTTCTGTCTGCACAAATAAATAAATCTTTAAAAAAAAAAAAAAGTCCCTAAGCTAGTTAGACCCACAACCATCTGAACCCCACAAACCCAGTTCACATCCCTAATACTGCATTTTCTTAAACCTGAACGCTGTAGCTAATTTTAGTGGTCAGGTTTAATAAACAAAAATGTTGAATTATCAAAAACCAGAAAGAAAACATTACTCTTTTTTAGATTACGGATAATCTGATGCATGCTGTATTATAAATACTGGCAGTAGCAGTGCCTATGTGTTTTCCTATGCAAAGACATGAAAAAGTTTTGTGCATTTTTCAGACTTCCTTCTACAAAATATCCTGGTAGGTGCCTAACTCGCAAGATAAAAGGATATGAATGAGTTCCTCGTCGTGACTATGGATTGCAATGTGAAGTTGATCTTCTAAGTACAGTAATTTCTTGCCTATGGCTTCACATTTTTCTCCAAGATCTGCAGAAAAGATGTAAGATTCCTGGCAAGAGAAAAAAGAAAAATATTATTTGTAAAGGATGGGCTTTTTTAGGGCCAGAAACACATCAGCACTTTACCCAGTAGTCCACAAAGGGAAGATGTCCCAGCGAAGCTCATCCAGCTTCCATATCCTGGAACAACTATGCTAGAATGTTCGCCTCTCTTAGAGTCTGTTCTTGAGAAAACATGACCTGATTTCAAGTTATTACCAATGGCTAAATGGTGTCTATGTGGCTCCACAGATTACCTCCCTTATCTGGTCATTTCAAAGTGCTGGTTCCAGTATGGCAACCCCTAAAGTACATTTATCAAGGGAGGAGTCTGAGTCTTCCAGCTGCTTCCACAGGCAGATTCTCCATGCCCCAGGAATGCTAACCAGAGAGCGGCTGGGCAAGTCACAGGAGAAACTCCATTAAGGGTACAGGAATCTAAGTGGACACTGAACACTTGTTTACATATTGGTCAAACCTCCCAAAGCTAGAAAGCTAGAAAGCTAGATATGAATGAGATTTTAAGCTCCACGTAGTGTTACCTTTCCAGTCCCTGCCACCACCATTACAGGCGTGCCTGCCCCCTCCCTCATCAGGACATAAGCTCCCTGAGTGCAGGGATGAGGGCGTGATGCTCACTGCTGGCACAGAGCTCTTGGTGCAATGTCAGACACAGTGCGAGCGCATGCAGTCAAGGTGCCATGAATGAATGGTTGTGTCTTGGAGCCTCGTCCTTCCCTCACCTTCTCCAAACTGGTGTCCTAGCTAAGCCAGGAGAATGTCCTCTCTTTTTCACTTTCCTGCACAAAACCACTGTAGAGCTGAGACAAGGTGCTAGCCTTCCACAACCTGGCACAAGACCCACAAGCAAGTTGATGGAGAGTGTCCTCGCCACTCTCCCACATACAGCATAATTTCACAGCCAGAAGCACCCCATTGCACCCCTATTCCTCTGGCCTGTTCCTCTATTCTTCTCGAAATCTAACCTTTCCTTCTATGCCCCCAAAATGCTTCCACCTTGTCGAACAGCAATTCTGACAGGTGATAGGTTCTCATGTGTGGCAAAGGCCATGGGCTGTGCATCCATCCTTGGGCCACAAGTTACATTGGAATATAGAAGGCACAGATTTTCTTACAGAAAAAGAATAAGCAAGGAAAAGAGGAAAGAAAAGAACATAGGGAAGTCTTCTGATAAAAGAAAAGGAGAAAAACAAAAAAAAAATGAGCTTAGAATTAAAACTTAACTAAATGTTAAGGGAAGTAATGTTTTTCCAACTAATTATGAAATTTTTTGAAGATATATGAAAATAATTGTGCTTAAGGGATGGCATTAAAAAAGTATTAGTATTGAACTGTGGAGTTACTGAAAAAGCTGTAATTAATACCCCAAAATAACCGAATGCCCATATTTAATGTTAAAATATCCTTAGAGTCGTGGTTATATAATTTCATAATTTTAGGCCATTAATATCTATTAAATCTTTAAATCATTAATAACCATAAAACATGCAATTTAATATCCCCTGTAAAGTCCAGAATGCTTTCACATTTATACGCCCCCTAAAGGGCCATATTAGAAAAAGAAAATGCTAATGCAAACTATGATGGCTATTATAAATATTAGAAAAGTCTAATATAAGCCTAGTAATAGCATATATAAAAAAAAGAGAAATCAAGTGACAACAACACATAGCTTCGAGGACAATGCACACAAGTAAACAAGAGGGCATCTGAGGCACTATGAAGACTTCCTCATACTTGGCTGTAGTCACGGGGAGAAGACAGCAAGCACATAAAAATCACTATACATATACATTTTACTGATGTTACAAGTAATAACATTATCATTCAAAGAGGCAGAATCACAAAATAGACAAGTTACACAGAAGTTGAGAAATGAACAATGAGGAACACCATAATTATGCATAAAGTAAAAGAGACACTGAGAAACAGAACATCTGGAGGAAAATGATTGACAGTTGTGAAATCACAAGTCTCTTTGGTATCAAAGAGAAAAAATACAGCATTAGTGGAGGAACTTACACAGGGAGGAATATACTTAGAGAGAAGAAGAACTTAGAACATGGAGCCAAGGAATTTAAAATACTCTTAGGTAGAATCCAATGACTCAATTATCTTATGTCTAAAACAAATAAAAATCAGAGCTGAAATAAATCAAGTTAAAATATGGCTTTAGATTTCCCGCTCAACACATAATCCTAGCTGGCTTTCCTTTTTAAATTATGTACAGATTGACAGTGATTGTGTGAATTTGGGAAGGCAATTTCAGACCAAATAGCAAGAACTTCAAATTGCTCATATCTTCAGATTCAATAATTCTACAGAATGTATCAAAAAGAACAATTTAATATTTAAATTTAAATAACGTGTATTAAGCCTTATTAATAAGTATAGAAAATGTATAAGTTAAATAAGATATATTTTAGTAATTCTAAAGTCATTGCATTAAAAGAGGAAATAACTTAAATATCTGACAATAAAGAGGGCAGTTAAAATTCTGGTACATTCAATTTGCATTTAGCCATTAAAGTCATTTTAATACAAGAATATTTAATAATGAGGAAATTCTCAAATAGGCAAAGCACTGAAATATTCATGGTTATTATTCCAAGGGGCAGTATTACAGCAAATTTTATTTTTTTCTCTCTGTATTGTTGTATTTTCTGCAGCTCTACATTATAATTTTAAGAGTTACCAAGAACGCTAATTCAAACCACAGTGGAAAAGTATGGAAGAAATAGTTTTCAAGACAATTTTAAAGAATAAGAGAACACAGAGCTGTAACAGAGAAGACAGCTCTAGTCTCGGTGGCCAGCAACAGAAGCTCTGATTGCTAGTCTCTCGGGGGCTGAGTCCGAACTACAGAATCTCTACCAGGCCCCTGTACTGTGGGCCTCACAGATTCTGTTCCTGAATTGTAAGGACATGAAAAGTGGTTGTGTGGGTGTTATTTCAGGAGTTGGTGTTTGATTCCAATGCTCTCAGCCGGACTCTTGGGAACAGAAAGAGTAAGACCTCAGCCAAGAAGTGGCAGCTCCTGAACATGCCAATTTGCACATTTCTATCAATCTGACAAGAAATTCTGTTCTTTCTAAAGGAAAACTTATCTGCCCAGAGCCATGGGTATCACTGTATAAAGCTGCGGGTCCTGCCTGTCAACCCTACACTTAGGGGCCAGATGGAACTTCCATGCAATTTCCATGCTGTGTCCAGAGTATGTGTGGCCATAGCAAATGGCTTTCCAAACTCTGGACTCTCTGCCAGCAAGAGACTCTTTATACTTGCCCCTGGATGGGGGAGGGCCTCTGAGGACCCTCAGTGAACAAAAACAGAGAGGTAACATGCCTGGTTTCCAAAGCCAAATGCTGATAATAGGTGGAACTCAGTTTCATGTTGCAAGGAAGTCTGAGGCACATGACGAACTGAGCATGTGTAGGTGAATGGCTGAGAGTCCCATCTGAGGACCCAGCCATTAGACTTGCGTGGGACTGAACCTTCCAGTGATTCCAGACTCCACCTTCAAGTCATTCAGTTAACATCTTGACATGTGCAGCATAGACATCCCTGTCCATAGTGCCACCACTGCATTCATGGATTGTAAGCCACACATCCAAGCAAAATGCACATGGTTGATTGAAATCACCAAGTTGGGGGAGACTTGTTATGCAGCCATAGTGGCTAGAACAATGGGCTATAGGGGTGCACCCAACCCAGGATCCTGTTTTGATGGACAACTGAAAAATGTCAGCATGCTCACAGGTCCCTAGGTAGAGTGATTCAAGACTGACTGGTTCTTGAAACTCACTAGAGTGAATGATCAGCCTGGTCTCAGGGCAGGAAGTATCTAGCCACCCATGCAGGGAGCTGCGGCTTTGAGGCTGACAAGAGCAAGAAAAATTTTCATGAGCAGCCCTGACCACTGATCACTGGTTTCCAGGCACCTGGTGTGGGTTTTTAAATAGTGTAGGTTCATATTCTGAGCAGCCTACTTGCTTGCTATAAGCTCACTAAATCCTTGCTTCCCTCCAATTTGAGAGAAAGTCTCTTTCTTTAGAGGACACAGAGCACAGCAAAGAGCTTCCATCATGAGAGGCAGAAGGAATTCACATTCGCATTCAGACACAGTCACCCCAAGAAGGAAGGTCGAAACCACCATGCTACTTAAATGGCCCTGTCCTCAGCCTCTCCTAGAAGCATCCAGAGTTCTGTGATCCTGACTCTGAGATCTCTTCTCAAATCTGGGTATTAGGCTTTAATTGGTGGCAAGCACCTTGCAGGAGAATTACTGTCAACTCTACACCCATTTCTGATTCCATCTGCTTAATTTGTCTATGATTTGGTAGGAAGTTAAAAATCAGTAAAGGAAATGGTGTCAAGCTTTGCTTGCTGGTTTGTCTTAAAAGAAAGGTAGCTTTCTTTTCAAAGCAACCATCGTCCCTACAGCTTTGGCATTTCTGTTTAAGATAAAATAATGAGCTTAAGTTCAGGGGGATCATCAGGAGACTCAGCTTGGGACAATGAGGTGGGAAGTGACACCCCTCATCCTACACTCACCATCTTCCCTAGGTATCAAAGCAGACAACCTCATAAGAATGTCACATCCTTCACATCCCTCCTCTTAGATACAGGGAAAGCATCTCAAGCAATGAGAAACCCCCGAGTCTCAGAGGCCTCGAAGCTCAGTCAAGGGGCCAGGCCCTCCAGGACACAGACACTGAGGGTGGAGATGACCACAACTAGGTCAACTTAGGGTGCGACAGTGAGCTGGGGACCATTAGTCTGGGGTCTGTAAACCTGGAAGCAGAGGCAACAGGTAAGTCACCAGGGAAGGACAGTGAGGGTTTCTTGCTTCTGGTAATAATATGAAAGCCTGGGTCTCTCATCCTTCCTCCCACCTCAGCAGAGATCAAATGAGCATTTTCTGAACCATGTCCATTAGTTCTTCATACACTGGCTCTGCTCAGTATGAAATGCGTAAGGCTCGCTTCCA